GTGTGTGTGTGTGTGTGTGTGTGTGTGTGTGTGCATGTATGGGTCAGTGTGTACCTCAGACTCGGCAGTTTCCTTTGAGTTTGGTTTTTCAGGAAACACATGAGGGACGATAAAGGAGGAGGAGGCGGCTTAGAGGCGCAGGAGCTGAAAAGAGTTGGCGGGGATAAGTTGGAGGGCAGAAGAGATGGAGGTCCTGCAGAGCGTCCGGCTGCTGTGTGTCTCTCTGATGATGATGATGAGTGAGCTGAAGATGTCAGCTGCTGCACAGGTAAGCTCGTCCGCCTGTTTTTATTCATGGAGTTCGTTCAAACTCTAAAACTGAACTTGGCGGTTCAGATGTAAAAATCTACATGAGCTTCAGGATGTAAAAGTTTGGACACTGGTTGTCGTGCGTCAGCGTCTCTGTGAAACTTTGAGTAGATGAATCTGAGAGCCCTTCCTCACATCAGCTCAGAAAGAGCTCCATTTATTTTAGTTGTGCTGTCCTGTTTGAAGCTTCATCTGTGATAACTTCTGGTTTTCTGATGTCTTACATAGCGATGTGTTCTCTGACTGAAATATTATGAGCTGCAGACTGAAGCACTGCTCACATCATTTGCTCTGACGTTCACTTTCTGGGGAGGGGGAGTCACCTGAGAGTGTGGACGCAGTGGGAATAGCCCCAACCCTCATTCAAGCTTTACATTCACATAAACAATGTGAGAAATAACTAGTGTGGGGTACTCAAGCAGAATGTTGCCATGGTTACAGGCAGTACTGTGTAGTATTATGTGCTCTGTATAAACAGATCTTCAGTCTAATATGTGCTGGTGCAGCCAACAGCTGGAGTATGAGGTACCTGCAGCAGCCTGCTCAGGTCTGCAGAGCTGCAAACAAAGAAACACAGCAGAGACTGCAGGAAGAAGCCGCACATGCCAAAGACTAAAGCTCCGCCCACACAGGAATAGCTGTGCAGCAATGCGATGACTGTTGAACTTCAGTGAAGTTGGCGACTTATAGAGATGACACAGAGCGGATCGATTAGTGGAAGCCGCGTGTTTAGATAAGCTGATACTGGAAACTGAGCGGGAATCACATCAGAGGTTATCTCAACAGCCAGAGCCCGCTGACAAGCAACTGTCACCGAGCAAAGGCAAAAAGGAGCCAGTTTATCTGTCAGCAGCTGATTCCCATCTGAACCTGCAGGCTGTAACAGGAAGTCATCATCAGCCCAGGAACTCCGTGTCCTGTTTGCCTCCTTTGACCGTTTCCTGGGTGGAGCTGATGGAGCAGATAACCACAGCTGCTATTATAGTTATTACACTTACTTCCTGTTCCAGTCGAGCCACCAGCAGCAGTCTTTGGTTTCAGGTCCAGAGGAGGAGGTTTAATAGTTTTACAAAGTGATGAGTTGAACTTTTCCACACTGCTACCTTCTAGTTTACCTGCACGCTGACAGTGTGTGGAGCACTGAGCTCCTGATTGGTTGGAAATCGTCCCGCTAAGAGCTGCAGCCACACACTGCCAGCACAGTTTCACTCACACAGCGTAGACATTGATGAAAGACACTTTTCTTTTCTTTTTTTTTTCAGAACTTTTGCTCCACCTCGACAGTGCTCCGCACTCGCACGATGTGCCACTCCTGCACCATCAGCCAGCTGATCCTGTGCCCATCAGGATTCAAACCCACGCCCAGATCCAACGCCCAGGACTGCAAGTGAGCACCACATAGCACAGGTCCACTCAAAGTCCTCATTGTGGTTCAACTGATGGTTGAAACAATAAACTGTGATTAGCTTCTTTGCACAAATTCAAATACCTCCACAATTTCACATCAAACATCACAACTCACACAAGAAACTTTAAAAGATCTCCACATCACCTCTTTAATAATTTTCTATTGAATTTACAGTTAACAGTTCTGCTGTCGAGTCAGGGTTCAAAACAGTCCTTCTGCGTATCACACTGAGCCACAGAGCAGCCTCTCCATCTGAATCAGGCTATATAAGGACCCCTCCCCTCCCTCACCCACCTCCACCTCTAAGAGGAGAGAGCCTTGCTGTCCTGGATCCCAACATCAGCAGCCACTTTACCTCCAGTCTGTCTGTCTGTTCTGCAGGTACTACATCAACACTCCCAGCATGAAGCTGCCCCTCAGTGGCTGCTCCTTCGAGTGCTACAAGGAGGTGGAAATAAAGAGCTGCTGTCCAGGTTACTGGGGCCCCGACTGCATCGGTCAGTACCGACACACCAGCTCGTCCTCAAAGAGCCAAAAAGCTTTTATTTAATCATTATGTTATATT